TCATCGGGGGCGGCGGAGGCGGCTTCTTTGCTCGCGAAGGTGGGGGAGGCGGAGGACCTTTCTTGTTCAATGCCGAACCGTTCAAGGCCCCCGAGCTGGCCCTTCTGGAAATGGCATCCCCGTATGAAGGAGGGCTCGAGCGTCCCTGGTAGAACACGTCGGAATGGGAATTAACATGCGCAGTGGATTCCTCGTAAGCATCAGTATACGGATTATCTGGCATCATGCTCGCAGGCCGAGGTTGAGAGCTATCTCTGCGGGAGACGAGATTTTCACTGGCCGCTCGTGATTGCCATGAAGATAAACCAGACGGCTGCAGGTGCCGCAACTGCGAGGGGCCCTCAAAAGTCGAGGTGCGATTTAAAACAGGTCGCTGGTATGGCGTCTCCGCTGGGTATGCTTCTCTCACGGGCAGAGTTGGGGGAACAGATGAAGTATGACGGTCTGACCTAATGATCGGTCGGGGACTAACGCCGTTGGTGAGCTCCTCATGCAGCGGCTCGTAGCGTTCATGATGGGAATGTGCGGTATTGGAACGGGCACGCCCGGTGCGACGACCATTTGGCGTTTGCGATTGGAATTGGCTAGGAACGGAGTCAGCTTCAGTCAAGCTCGTGTGCGAACCATTTTGACTCACTCTGCAGGCCAATCATTCTTGATTTGGAGAAGTACTTCTCGGCAGCGTTCGTGGTAATTGAGCTGCGCTTCGAGGAAGGCAGCCAAATCCGCGACATTCTCTACCTCCGCATCCTTGATATCGTACATCCGCCTGTAAACGTCTTCGTTGGCCTCTTCGTACTTGACCTTCTGGGTACGCAATTCTTCTTCAACGCGAAAGTCCTCTTTCTTCGCTTTCTGCATCTTAGAAAGTGACGTATCGTAGGCCAATCGTCGGCTGTCAAGCTTCTTGCGGGCAGCCTGCTCGAGTCGTTAGAATGGTGTTCGTAACGGATAGACTCATACAGAGCGAAACCGTACCTGATATTCTTTCATCTGGGCTAGAGATCGTTCAAGGGACTCAAGATAGGTGGCAGTGGCCTGTGAGATATAGGTTTCCTGCACACGAGCAATCCGCTCCTCTGCCCTCCCAAACACTATTCGGTAGAAAACAACGTCAGAAAACCAAATCGCTTGTCAAACAGCAGGAGTCGCTTGGCCGCTTACTCGTCAAACAACGGCCATATTCGGAATTGGCATCGAAATCCTCCCCATGGCTGACCATGCTGCTACCCAAATGAGCTATAGGCAGCGTCTTCTCCTTGTCATCTCCTTCGCTGCGCTTGGAGATGGACTTTATATAAGCAGCCAAGGATTTATGGATACGATCGACCCCTGGGGTGTGAATAGTCTCAGCAAAAAGCAACATGAGAAAAGCCGTGCATAGGAAGCAAATCTTGCCTACCTTCATGTTTCACGTTCATTTCGGTCTCCAGTGCTTTAAAGTCATCGGAGAGATTAGTCTTGACTTCGCCGCCCATCCTCTCGCCTGCCCATTGCTTGAAGCGGTCGAGCTTTTTATTGACGTTCATTGTGGGTGAATATGTAGGAAGAATAGTTGTAGACGAAGCGCTTTGATGGAGGAGGGCACGTCGACAGGAAAACGAATGAGACTTCCTTTAAGTCTATGTAGGGATCCGAATGCGGCGATTGCAGATGCACAGACGGTAGTCCGTTCCGGTGATTGACTATGCAATGAGAGACAGCAACTGGAATAGTCCAAGAGTCATGGATTGAATAACGGCGGCATTCAGTGAATTTAAGCCATATGTTCACACTAAGCGGAAGGCAATAGGACTGGTTTTTTTTGGGCAGAAGAACAGGAGGTTGGGAAGGTAGAAATCAGGACGATGTCCTCGTGGGTGGGAATGCTTGGGAATTAATGGAGAGCAGGTCACTCGCCAACGGGGTTAATGAATGTTATTATCAATTTTAATCAAATCTAAATAAATAAAAGTTCTATCCCTACAATCATTATTCGTCAGGAGCAAAATGTAAATGATTAATTTGAATTTAATTTCTCGATGGTGGTCGAGGAATGGCATTGTGAGTCTGGGACAAAAGTGCCAATCGCAGCTGTCTGAATGCGCCACCGTCCAGGTACAAACTCCAGGAGTCCAGAACAGATCAGTAAACACCCCTCCCCACCCGCCAGTTCCCTTCTCTCCTCTTGGCAGGATTGTCTCATCCAGTCTCAGACCTTCACATGGAGTGGATGACAAGCGGAGTTGATACGGTGATACCAGAGTGATATCAATAGTGGACTTCTACTTGTGATACCTTGCTAGATGTGGTTTATTGTCTATCATCATATCATGAAACAATGATTGACCATCGAACCACATGAGTACTTAGCTGTAGATCACCTAATAGGAAAAGGTGAGTGTTTGTTGTCCATTCAGATAGGTACCTATGATATCTGGGACTCCTGAAACCTGGTTATCTGAAACTTAGCTTCTCCGTTAGCCTGGGGTTCTGTACTGTTATTGTTAGGCTTTAGATATTGGCCGTGGTCATATCTGTCTACAGAGTAACCCGTACACGCGTTAGTGGGCCGCTTGTGGGACGTCGTCGAGCAGGACAGTCCCTTACTGGTGGATTCCAATTTCAAAAGTTCAAAAGTGGATGGCTTTGCCACGATACTATTTACGGAACAAAATCAAACTATCCGTATCTATACGTACAGTACTGCAAACGCCTCATGAGGTACCTGAGGGAGGACACCAGAGACTGCAATAATGTATGGTCCAAGACGGAAGTATATTCAGAGTTGGTAGATTGGTAGACCTGAGCCTCGAGGAACTGATGGCATTTGCATGAACTTCACTATACAACATCTTCTGTAACTCATGGGAACCTAGAGCTGCAAGTCTGTAGACGAATGAAAATATATATCTAACACTAGAGTGCGGATATATAAAAGTTGTTCGCTTTCCCCTGATTGAACACTGCAAAGTTAGACAGTCTGTTATGCATCCCCAAGTGAACTTAATAATAACATGTCATATGCTATATATATTATACCAAGAAAGTCCATATGTATCTATTGAAATTCAAACTATTAATAGGGTGAAGCTCACAAAGTGTCTATGCTGTACCCCTCTACACCAACAAGTAGCCTCTAATGGTCTTCCAACCTCAACGCAAAAAGGTTCTATGATGTCAAAGGTACAAGGAATTAAAGCATACAGCATACAGCACACAGGAGACACTCATATGTGCTCTCGGTTATTCACATACAGACAGGCTTCCCCTAATATCCAGCGGCATTTCGCAGACCTCAAGCATATTTGCACCTGAGTAATGCATCATCGCCAGCATGTCATGTTCATGATAATAAGCCAAAGGCTAACTCATCCAATGTTAGATCATAGAACCGGCATCTCTCTCTCTCTCTCGCCCGCGTACCATCTCAGGGCTTCCTAGCTCTGGAGGCTGAAAGCAGAGGCAGAGTTCAAAGTGGCATTGATTGAAATGAACGAGCTTCATAGCTATTGTACTTCCTCTGGCCAGAGAATATACTCATTCTCCGCAGCTATCATAACATCAAAGTCATTCCAAACAACAGCATCGTTGGTGGTCGGAGCACAGGAATCATCCAAACCGCCCAAGGGATCAGGGTCATAGCAGATGCCATCGTCGCAAAGCGGCCGGTTCAGACTCCAATCTTCGCCTAGGCCAGAGTCAACCGACGCATTCCGATTCCGACAATCCAGAGCAGCAGCCGAGTATTGCCCGGGCGTAACGCCCATGACCTTTTTGAAAACGCGATGGAAATGACTGGGTGTCAGGTTTGCCTCGCTGGCCAGCTTCTGAAGCGTTGGTTTGCAGCCGTTTATGACTTCCAAATTGATGGTTTCACAAGCTTTTTGTATCAACTGGACCTGTGGATTTGCCGCCCAGTGCGTTTCCGGTTTGCAGCGCTTACAGGGCCTGAACCCTGCTGATTCTGCCTGTGAGGGTGTGTCGTAGAATCTGACATTGGCCCGGCGGGCAAGGCGAGCTGGGCAGGATGGGCGGCAGTATATTTTTGTCGTCAGGACGGCATAGACAAATGTATTGGCCGTTGCATCGCGGTTCACAACTGCTTGCCAACGCGCAGCAGCAGATGTGGATGGTCTCGCGGCTCTGGCCAGCGGAAGTACCTTCTGCGGTGCATCATTTGAATCATCGATCACATGCATTTTGAGGTGATATAGAAAATAATGAGATGAAGAGTAACCAGAGACGTTAGTGATGGATAATAGGAATTTTGCAACACTTGGTCTTGTTCATGGAGAATGACAACCCTCTTTGTGCAGCCCGCGCTGCTGATTGGTCACTTTGAGAGCAGGACCTCGTTTCCATCAAGTTTACGGGATCGAATGAATCACGAGGTCATCAGTATCCAGACAGAATTAGTGAGATAGAACAAGTGGTCATTTCGAAATGAGGAACGCAAAGGCTGTCTATTATTGAATATTGGCAATTCTATGACGGAGCATAACAGGAGTCGAGTGAAACTCGGCTTTATATCTCGGCTACAAACGTTGGATGAGGTCAACTTCTGAGGATGAATGGCCTCGGCGCTTGTAGTACATTTGAGAGAAGTCTAAAAAAGGCCATATATTCCATGCTGGTGGCAGTGCAGCAACTGCAGTCCACTTTGAGCTGGCTGCTCTGTCCTGAAGGTTCAAGTGTGCACAGATTCTACAGGTTGATACCGCACGATCACTCATCACGCGGTGAATACCAAAAGAACGAGGAAAGGGAATTTTCATTGATTACCGCGAGGGTTCTTCCGCTCTTGCTGAGACATGCGTCGTGTAATGCATCCTGAGACACTGGATTCCAACCCTTTTTGTTCTGGTCTTTTTGGTCATCATGAAAAATTTTTTGGCCACAACCTTAATTTCGCTAAGGACGTGTGGAAGGTAATCCGCAGTCGCCTAAGTACATATGTCTCATAGCAGAAGAGCATTTTCAACCCGTCAAAAAGAACAAAACTCCGCACAAGATCACGTTTATTCCTTGGTCTTCTGGGTACCACGGAGCAGACCAGTTCTCCGGGCAGCAATAAGACCGGCTTTTTGACCGTGGGCGGCGTAGCGAGAGATGGTCGAGGCCTTACCAATGTGCTGGTGGTTACCACCACCGTGAGGCTGTAGAGAGAATCCTTGTCAGGTATTGCTCGAGAAAAATATATAGATAAAATAAGTCAAGGATAAAACTTACGTGATCGACGGGGTTCATGGCAACACCACGAGTCTTGGGCCAAGAGTTGCGCTTGACAGCGAACTTGTGCTTGGCACGAGAAGCCTCTGTAGATACTCGTTAGCAACGACGCCCTTCACACTTTCTCCACACTAAGCGAGAATTTGCGAGTCGGAGTAACATACTGAGCAGAGGCTTGTCGGTACGACCACCACCAGCGACGATACCAACCATACCACGAGCGGTGTTCTTCACAACCTTCTTGGCACCACTGGGGAGCTTGATTCTGGTCTTGCCCTCCTCAGGGTTGTGGCCAATGACGGTAACGTAGTTTCCGGAGGTACGACCAAGGGCACCACGGTCACCAGACTTCTCCTCGACGTTGGTAACGACGGTACCCTCAGGGACGGAGGCGAGGGGGAGGATGTTGCCGACAGTCAGGGCAGCGTTCTTTCCGGCGTAGATGAATTGACCAGTGTACATGCCCTCGTTGGCGATGAAGGTCTCGGTAACCAACTTGAACTTGTAAGGGTGACGGAACTGGACCTTAGCGAGAGGAGCACCACGGCCGGGGTCGTGGATGATCTCCTTCACAACACCCCTGACATATCCATGGCGCTCAGCGAAGTCGAGCGTGCGGAACTGGGCAGGAGCCTTGTTGAGACGGGTGTGAGCCGCTGAAGACGGAAAAAGAGATCAATCAGCATTTCTGGATTCTTGAGAGTAAAAGTTCCTGCAAAGTCTCGAATGCAGGAATATTCATTTCATTGCGGTCGCACTCACTGAAAATGGATCCACGACCCTTCCTCTGATTGCGGATCACACGACCCATGGCGACTTTCTATATGTTGAAACCTTTGCGTTAGTATTCAAAAGAAAGCCCGCCGGCGACCGTTGGTGGGAGTTTATCAATTGCTCGTACCTCAAATCGAAAATGGGCTTGTCGGGTTGGTGTTGAGAATTCGTCGGAGGATGGGCTGTGTGGGCTTTAGGGCGAGATCGCTAATCTAACCGAGTTGGCGCTAGCGCCATTTTGGGCCCTGGCGCGGCTGTGATTTGCGCGCGGATAACGTGACGTCTTGACCTGCGTGTAGATAACCCTCAAATACAGATCATCACTTGGTCCCGTTTTTCCAACCCGTGGAATAATGGTGCCTTCTAGGCGAGTGTCTTCGTGGCCGTCATCCTTCATTGTAGATGGATTGTCTAATAAAGGCTGACGCCAATCCTCGTTATATCAATGAAGTCTGGTGCAGTCTTTCTACAGTTTCGCTCGGGCGAACCCCGGCCTAATCTGCTCGCTTAAAATAATGCATGGGAATTTGTTTTGAAGGATTCATGATGAGACGCATTTGCGCTTCTTTCCTGCGACAAAATGTGTGGTCTTTTGGGTACCGGAGTAAGCTAAGCTTTCAATGACATGGCGAATCCTGCTCCGACCCCTCATTTATCCCTCAAATTATCTGGATAATATCAGATTATTGACAGTACCCTTCAGGCACGACTCTCAGTTAGGGATCGGTATTGTGCCACCCTTTCGGAGCCAATGGGAATTCCGATGGGCATCTGTCATTGGCAGGCCCCAGCAGTTGAGAGATTTGCCACGATGCATCTGAAAACTTTGAGAATTTCGGTATCTTCAGAATGTTCGTCTAGTCTTTTGACGACAAGACAGAATGTCTGCAGCCAGTATGCTTTTCGGAGGGAAGAGGATTAGATATGTTTGGAGCATGTCTGAATCCTTCTCCTTCCCGTACGTCCTCCTTGACGGCTCACCTTGCGGTGCTTCGAGTGGCCCTTGTTGATCAAACTTATCATGGTCTTCATTCGATCTTCGTCGTTTTCATTGTCTTTCATGGAGTGTAAACCTTCCTGGCTGCAGTTAATGCTCAATCCTGAGGAACGCCCTGGCGATGACGCACATAATCTGCTTCAGTATCTCAGTTCCCTAGGCTCAGTTGTATGCTTTTATGAATGGTGCACCTAGAATCTACACCTTTATAGCTATCTTTGAGAGAATTTATAAGAGATTAGAGTGTTCCTGCCCAAAAACTAGTCACCGCCTGATATTAACTGGTACCATTGATAATGCCGGACAGTCCAGGCGCGTGGAAGCCGCGCTTCAACCGAGTAGCGTCAGTAAGGGAACTTCGCGGCGCGGACTTGTCCACCGTCACCTCGTCCTCGAATGCATCACATCGAGACAGCAACCCAACCATGTCGAACATGTCTCTTTCCGACTCAGATCTTTCGTCGCTATCGTCAGCGCCTCCTTCAGAAGATGAAGTTGGTACTATGGCTCTCGATGAGCCTGTTGGCATTACCAAGTACTTCAAGAAGGAATCTGAGTCTCCGCCGCCGAAACGGGAGCCCTCGCCACCTCATGAATATGTTCTAGCTGATAATCCTGACATTGCAGTAAGTTTAGACAGTCGCTGGAGCTTACAGAAGCTCCGATGACAGTCTGACGCGTCAAACTATCCGCTACAGCCTCTTTGCTAACTTGTCGCAACTTTATAGTTTATTGTGATGTTCCGCGCGCGTTTTCATGAGGTCTTCCCGCGATCGACGCCACACTTTGGACCCCAGGATATCGAGAGAGGTGTCGTGGAGCTTCCACCAGGCGATTATATTGAGAGGCTATTGTGTGCATTGCTTGGTCTCGTGCTGAATCGGAAGAAGGATGTTGAGTATGCGCACCTGGTCCCTCCACTATCAGAGAGCTACCATACCATTTATTCCTTATGCTCGTGCAAGGCTTTTGCGACCAGATAGAGGGCTAACTATTTGATACTGATTCACAGCCGAGCCCACTACCAGCGACCTCTTGAAGAGGCAATTCAAACACATGCCTCCCAATGGCCCAAGGCTTGGCAAGGAAAGAATCCCCTTCATGGGGGTCGCACCTTTGCAACAATGTCACCCGAAGAACGCGTATGCCAATGCGATGCGAATAATCATTACAAGTCCAAGGCACTGATAATTTGAATAGTTGACCTTGTTGAAGTCGCTGATTCTCTGGTCCCTTTCTTCGTCTGAAGCGGTTCAAGCCAAGATTAAAGAATCCTACAAGCAAGCTCGCCATGAGGACGATCTGAACCAACCGCTTTCAGTCCAACCGTGGGGCCGTGACGGCCTGAAGCGTCGGTACTGGCTGGTCGAGGGTTTGGATGATACACATTTCAGGTTATATCGCGAGAGCAACCCTGCGCTTAAGAACGTTACGTGGTGGAGCGTAGCCGGGACTATACCCGAGTTGAAGGCAGTCGCAGACAAGCTGGATGGAGAGAAGAGTATACATTCGAAGAAGCTCAGTGAGCGGATCAAGAATGCCATACCTCGTTTTGAGGGCTCAGAGGAGGTAAGCTGCTATCGCCCGCCCGTGATCTATTTTTTTTATTGACAATCCGCAAGAAACGTAAAAGACGGGACTATCGCATTGCTCGCAAAGCGGCCTTCGCTCGACCCGAGCCCGGGTTTTCACTGTACGAAGGCCGCACTCGCGGCAAGAAGCTCAAGTACACATATTCAGATGACGAGGATATCTTTTCCGACGAGTTTTCCTCGACAAGACGATCGACACGGAACGCGTCCGGAATCTCGACACCTGCAGAACCTGCGGGACCCAGATATACAGCAAGTGGTAGGCAGATACGCGCACGAGCGGGTGGCATGTATGGCGAGAGCCTCCTTAGTGGCCAGCGCGGGGAGGAAGCTGAAGAAACCGGTAGACCCCAAAGGTCTCGGGCGACTCGCGCAAATGGCTATACGGAGTACAACATGGACGACGAGTCTGATGCTGGTCACTCCAGTGGAAACGAATGGCAAGGTGGTGAGGAAGAGGAAGACAATGATTTCGAAGGCGACGATGAAGGCGATTTGAGTGGAGACGAGTCGCTCATAAACGGACAAGATCGGAGTCTTGTGGTGCAGTTGAGATACGGTAAGGGAAAAGTACCAAGCAGCCCTCACGAGCCTGTCGAGGAGCCGTCAGCGGAGAAACTTCAAAGTGCGCATGCAGACACAGCACACCCGTCAACGGCCCCTGAAACTCAGCCTATGAGTCAAGTGCCGGACTCTGAGACCAACAGACAGACAGGTACGGCAGAGGCGCAAGCTCAGACTGTGGATGTTGTGAAAATGCCCAGCATTGTGCCGATGAACACAGCTATTAATGAGCAGAAGGCCGATCCGCTGAATGAGCTTAACGGTCAACAGCGGGAGACGCGTGAGGGTGCTGGACAGCCTTCCGGAACCGACTTGTCACCAATCAAAGTACCTCCCATCAACGCTCCAAATGAGACGGGTTGAGGTTTCTTGAATGACAGCTACTTCACGTTTCTTACCAAAAGCGATGTCTTCACCTGACACTCGATTAGTGTACTGTGGCGTGGCGCAGTGTTGCCATTTCGAAAAAAATAATACGAATTTAGGCAAAGCAGGAGTTTGTTTCCATCGAGAGTTTGTCAGGCTTTTGTTGAGCGGTATGTTCACGGTCAAAGGTCCATCAGACCTGGAGTTTGCAATGGTTCTTTATAGCAGGATGATTTTATATGAGGCTCAGGGGACATGTCACACCGATCCCAGAACTCGGCCGCTGATCGAGGCGCAATGACTAGTGCTGATTCAAAACATTTTACCTACGCTAAATGTATATTATTTTGAAGGCGGGATGGAACGCATTAAAGGTTAGACGAGAATCGCGAAGTATGGTTCGACTCTTTGCTTGCATATCGATTTTGCTATGCAATACGGAGTCATTGACAACGAAGAAAGAAAGAACGCCAAATCCCTAACTCCAATGATGCAATGCGAGTCCCCATCCCAATATGGAAAAAGTGACTTAGAGAGATTAGTCTGCACCTGCATTCGAAAATTGCGCCGTGTAGAACTGTAAGAACTCCGAGAACGTCAGCTGCAGATCGACTTGATTCTTGAACCATATCTCAGAAATAGGTATATTGTCGCGCCAATGTCCGGCTTGACCATATTGAAAGATGTGCACTTACGTCTTCGACCTTGGCAGCAAGCCGAGGGTCCTTTGTTGTACCCAGGGGAGGAAGCTTCCAATTATTGACTTCATACCACCACCTTCGTAGTCTGCTACCGAGCGTCTGGCCACTGAGAGAAGCTGTGCGGTTCCAGTAACGCCAGCCAGAAAGCGCAAGAGTCCAAAGAGTACCCTGGATGAGTGGGAGAAGAACCTAATATTTTGCAAACCATTTCATTAGCATTCTATTGTCTCAATTCACATAGCGACAACGAGATCTCCCAACTCATTGCCGAGTATTCGTACCTGGTCCCGAATGGTAATCCATGCAACCCGTCCCCATGTATCGGCACCTCGCAAGCTGGCGAGATAGCTCTGTTCGAACCGCAGATCGGGCAAAGGAGGAAGAGTATGACGGCGTGAAATGGGTCTAACCATGCGACTGGGGTCAACAATATCGGAAGGGATGCTGTCAGCTTCGGAGGAAGAGCGTCGTGCCACTGGTCGCTTCTCCGAGGCGGCGGTTGGAGGATTGATGTCGTGTCTCGGGGATGGATTCCGCTTGATTGAGGCGGTTTGGATGGTTTCTGCCAGTTCTAAAGCTGGATCGGCCATTTTGCGAGACTGCACGATGCTATATAAATGAGTATTCCGAGTGAGTTTGTAGATGTCAGTTATCGGCGATCGTTCTTGTGTAGGTTCACGGACTTTTGGAGGTTATCCGGCCTCCTAACGCAACTAATCATAAGGACCGCCTGGACGGGGCAACTGGCCGGCCGCCGATCTTACTACGGGTTAAACTAAACCTTCCACCTCGCTGTCTGCCCCTCCTCAAACACCCC